AATATCAATTAGATTGGCATGCTTCACTAACACTTTATACTGGATGGTTGTTACTAATCTGGAAAATATTTCATAAACACAAGAAAATATAAATAAAACCTCCCACAATATAATTATGGGCAATTTGATCTAATGAAAATATTTTAACTATATACTTGCTTGTTAAGCTTGTGATGAGTCGAGATTAATTTAACTTTGGTGACCTACTCATTACCCACATATCGCAGTTGAGCACGGTGAGGTTGGGTCAAACCTAATTGTTGTCGAATAAAAGAACTAATTAAAACTGAGTTCTAATAAATTAGTTTAATATATAACTCATCATATAGTTTAGTAAAACTAATTAATTTATTAGTTGCTGACTGAATAGTGACCAAATGTTTGCGTGTCTTATGCATTTGTCAGATGTGTATTGCACGTAACTCACGTAGTCATGCCTATTATTAAATAAGAAAAATGGTTAATATCACGAAAAATCCCAAGTTCGTACACATGTGACAAATTTACTTTAAATAATTTTTTGATCACCAAAAACCCCAAATAGGTATATTTGTAACAAATTTACCTTCCGTTAGTTTTCGTTAAATTTGATTAATATCACAAAAAATCACAAAATAGTACACATATGACAAACGGAGGTAAAACCTCAAACCGGCACACTCGTTAATTACCACGTGTCATCTAACTCAGCAATTTGACGATAAAATTTAACGAAAACTAACATATGATAAATTTATCACAGGTGTACCAGTTTGGAGTTTTTCGTGATATTAACCTTAGGAAAAATATGGGTACGTCGGGATGGGTGGCTTTTTACTTTTTGATTCTTTATTTTATTTTTACTGAAAATTTCGATTTCGATTTAACGTCAAATATGTAAATTTTTCAGAAATATATAAATTTTGACATGCAAAAGCATTTGAAATCCTTATAACTTTATAACATTTAGAATAATTCCTCACATTTTTCAAAGTGCGAAGACTACGACAAAAAAAAAGGTGCGAAGACATGCTTTATTTTGTTCCCCACTATGAACGCTTTCTCTTTCCTCTTGTTGCCGTTTCAGTTTGGCTACAAACATTCCAATTGGGTTGTCGCAAACAAGAAATCTCACTGGCCCCGATGTCGTAACTCCATCATACTTCTCCTCGTGATGATGCCATTGTGTCGAAAATGGAACAACTCTCTATTTTGTATCGAGCTTTGACCTTTCGTATTCAAGAAAAGCCAAAGGGCAAACCAAAGGTAAAACAAGATCACCCAACAAAATGAGGAGCGCAAGATCACCCAAGCTTGCTTCTCGGTGTCACCGTTGCTCCATGCGTTTCAAATTAACAAGTGCAAAATTACCGCATATTCCTCTCGTCATTGAGCAACAAGGGAAAACGAAATCTCATAGCAGGACCCCAAAAACATCAAGAGTCCTCGATGTGACGCTATAAAGTTGATATCAACGCATGCTCATTGAAAAGAACTATGCGAGCTGCTCAAAGCAAAGGTCCAATGCATAATCCAAGTCAATTTAGAATTGCAATGAGTTATCTCAAACATCACGTTTCTAAATTGTCTTGTTCGCCGCACATACAAAGCAAGGTGCTTCGATGCATGTTTAGTTTGGCATTATTCCGGTGAATTACATGCTTTATGAGGAGAAAATTCGAGTTGCTTCGTCCTTCCCTGCCGGAATGTGTGAATGTCTCCTGTAATTCAATAATTTGTAGTCGAATAGGTGCAGTTTAGCATTTTAATTGTTGCCTTCGAGTTTTAATTATTCCATATTAGCTCTCTTATAATTGTTTAGGTTGGTCTGTAATTCAATAAGATGGCTTCTCGAAGTCCGCCTGTAAGAATCGTTTAGTACCAACTACCTCAATATTTGAGTGGGTGTATATTTGTTTCAATACATATATATTCTTCTTTGAGTTTCTGTAGGGATTGAAATACTTTTCACAAAGAGCTATGGTTTGCTAGTAAATTGGCTTGACTTCAAATGTTGCAACAACCCCCACGTGGAGGCTGCGATTTGGCCCAATAAAGCGTGAATATTGAGAACAGGAGAGATAAGTAAGGGACGAGAGAATTACACGATCAGTCCTAAACCTATTATATAGATATTAATTCAGTCATAAATTTTTTAATTTTGTTAATTTAGTCCTAAATCTTTGCGCGAAATTTCAATATAGTCCTTATGGTCAATTTTCGCTAGAAGTTGCTAACGTGGTGGTCCAGTCATCGCCGGATACTGCCAAGTTAGTGATATTCAGCGAAAATTGGCCGGAAGGTCGATATTGGGATTTTGCATAAAGTTTTAGACTAAGTTGGAAAATTGGGAAGTATATGATTGAATTGGCATCGATATAAATAGGTTTAGGAATGATTGGATAATTTTCCCAATAAAGGACTTGAAGTGATTTTTTTAGTTGAGAACTCCATATGATATCATCTAAAATCCACTAATAACTACTAAAATATAAATTGTAAGATGAAAATATTGTTTAATATTTATATTTTATAATGAACATCATCCATTTCCTTATATAAGAAGGGATAATAATACAAACAATTCCTAAACTTTGGCCCAATGTATAATTTGGTCCCTGAACTTTTAAATTGTTCAATGTAGTCCTGAATTTTAGCCTAATGTTCAATGTGGTTCCTGAATTTTTAATTTGTTCAATATAGTCCCTGAATTTTTTGTACATGTTTTATTTAATCCCTGAACAAAGGAATGCTTAATGTAGTCCTTGAACTTGAATTAACAAAAAGGCTACATTGAACATTTTCATATAGTTCATGCACTAAATTAAACATGTACCAAAAGCCCAAGGTCCATATTAAATAAATTAAAAGTTCATGGACCAAATTATACATTGAGCCAAAGTTCAGGGACTATTTATGTCATTTTCCCTAATGAGAACAATCCATAGAAATTTTTTTATACCGTACCGTTTGTGAATCACCTAACAAAATCCAAGGTGCAAATAGCAGATCATAACAGCAAGTGAAGCAAAATGCAACGTGAGTAACAATTGAGGCTGATTTGTTTTTTTAAATTTCTTTTGCGAAGATTTATCAAGCGGGCAACGCTGAGATATACTATAGTTGGTTAATAGTTCCAACTTTCCGTATATACAATTAATAGAGAAAAAAATAAAAAAATTTAAAGTCTGGTGTTTTTTTTTTTTGGTTAGAAAATTGAAGTCTAGTTTAAGAGGAGCCAAGCACGATGGTTCCGGCCCACGGGTTAATGGCGTCGTCGAGTGAACCGTGGAAGGAGAATGACGGCATAGTAAGCATCGCGGAAACGACAGACGCACGACAAGTACATTTCATTATGATTGTACTTGTATTTGTTCTCTCGCGTATTGTCCACAATGGGAGATCCAAGTGAGAGATCGCAGAGCATAAACCCCAAATAATCCCTCTGATCCTTCCTCGATCTGAATGACTTTCGTCCTCACTCCTCTTTTGTCCCCATTTCCTCTTCTCTTTTTTTATTTGGCATGCCATCCTTATTTCACGGCCGGCATCACCTCACCTCACAGTGGGCAACACCCTCTCGTTCGCTCTCTCTCTCTCTCTCCCCCTCCCCTTCTGTTGCTTTATGTTACTCCATTTGGGCGACGATCTCGTAGCTTTACAAGTCGGCAGTGAGTTCTCTTCTTCACGCGCTCTCCAGCATGTTGTTTACCTTTGGTGGTGCTGTTTTTAATACTAGATTAACATTGTTGTCTTGGATATGAATATATGTAATCAGAGAAATATCTTAGAAAAACAAGGTTATTGCCACGTCCGGTTCAGAGGAAAGTGTTGGTTCAGTAGAGTTTCGTTTGTGATTCCTGATTGTGCGACTCGTTTGCTGTAGCTATTTTCAAAAGAATAAAGGAAGAAGTTTCTCTGGGAAAGTTGGCGTCGTGAATGAGGTTGGTTTAATGTCTCTTTTGCGCATTAGATAGTTGGTTTAACGTCTAAATAGATTGTGGCTTTGATGGAGTTGCAGTTTAGCATTTTTCTGCTGTCATCTTATTTGGTTGAATTTTCATATGGGTACAGGAACCAAGAAACTTGTTGAAATTACTAGCTGCATAACACGTACTTCCTCTCTTGATCATACTGTGAGCATTTTGATGGGAAGTGAAAGTGTGACCGAATCATGGTTGGGCACTTTCTGGCGGGGCTCGCGGTATAAGGCTCAAGAGCATGAGAAAGCCATGATCGGAATTTTATCTTTTGAGGTCATGAGCCTAATGTCTAAAGTGGTTAAGTTATGGCATTGCTTGAGCAATGTTGAGATTCTTCGGTTGAGAGAAGATATGGCGAGATCCGTGGGCATCAGGAAGCTTGTATCTGAAGATGATAGCTACGTCATGAATCTCGTGCTGGAAGAGATCATCGACAATTTTGTGTACGTGGCCAGGGTGGTGGTCAGGCTTGCGAGGAGGTGTGCGGACCCTGTGTACCACCAAATTGGAAGCTTCTTCGACGACCCTATAAATAACTACATCAAGTGGTTTGGTTGGGAGTACAAGTGGAAGAAGATGGACAGAAGAGTGAAAAAAATGGAAAGGTTTATCGCCGTCACGCTGCAGTTGACCCAAGAGCAGGAGGTGTTGGCGGAGCTTCAACAGACGGTTAGGAGGATGAAGGCCAATCCCATGTCAGACCGCATCAAACTGTTTGAGATCCAGCAGAAGGCGATGTGGCAGATTCAGGTGGTGCGTAATCTCCACGAGCTGTCTCCTTGTAAAAGAACTTATGACTATACCGTTCGACTACTTGCCAGATCGCTTTTCACTATTCTTGACAAAATGATACATGCCTTTGGGGGTGACCAAGATAAGCTTGAATTAGAGGAAATCCATCCCACTTGCTTTTCCAAGAGCCACTCCCTCTCTGCTCTTATGCAATCTTCGGTTCATCCATCTGCTTACAGCCTCGATCTGTTCTATTTGTCGCTGCGTCCTGACAAGGATAGAGCAAACAAAAAGGAGCACCAAATTCATCAGCAGTCCTCGCTGAGGGAAAAGCATGTACCGATGAAACAGTCAAATTACACTGGGCCTTTCAAAGGGTGCATTAATGTGGAAACCGATTCTCCCCTTATCGACAGTTATTGCAGAACAGAGATGGTTGAATCGACGAGAGCAACAAGTGTGTCTGGAAATGATGTCAGAATGATGGACTACAAAGATGTGAAGACGTTGATCGTGAGCAACAGAATTTACTCTAAGCTCGCATCTTTCTATGCCAAGTGCGGGTGCTTAATCACCCCCCCTCAAACTCTTGGCCATGCCGCCTTAGCTGTGCACTACGCTAATGTGATTGTTCTAATTGAGAAGCTAACGTCTTCCCCTCACTTGATCAGCCTCGACATGAGAGATGACCTCTACCATATGTTGCCCGCTTCCATTAGAAACGCTCTGAGGGCCAGGCTAAGGTTGCATAAGAGTTTGGTGTTGATGGTGCATGATGGTGCAATCGTGGAGAAATGGAGGACAACGGTGGCGCAAATGCTGGGATGGCTAGCTCCGCTTGCTCACAACACAATAAAATGGCAATCAGAGCGGAGCTTCGAGAAGCAGAATTGCGATTCTGGGGCGAACGTGCTTCTAGTACAGACGCTGTACTTCGCAGACCAACCAAAAACCGAGGATGCGATTGTAGAACTTCTGGTGGGTCTGAATCATATATGCAGGATCGGCAGAGTGAAAGTGAGAGCTGAGAGGTTTTTTGGGGAGACTAAGTGCGGCACTTAGACTTGCAAGACATTAGTCTGTACACTCGGGTCAAATGTTGACTTTTCAATATATAAAACATGTTTCTGTTCTGAGTTGACTTTAGATAACCCGAGGCACGGTACTAGAAGGCGCCATTTTCTTCATCTTGCAGTCTGGTAAATCTGGCACTTAATGAGGTGCCCGCTAAGCTGACAAATTTTACGTAAATAATTGACTGTGACTCCATTTCTTCTGTATTGATTTCTGCAGGGGAAGAACAGCAGAAGTGCCAAAAGTTGTGTACGGAGCTCGCTTTGATGCCAAAAGTTTCATTTTGATCATTTAAGTGCTAAAATTTTTGAAAAACGATAACTTAAGTGCCAACTCCGGTCAGTTTGGCCGGAAATCCGACGTGGCATTTTTTTATTAATTTCTGAAGCCGATGTGGCTCGCCGGAGATACAGTCAATACATACGGTCAGCATTTTTTATTTTAAATAATTTTTTTTCTTTTCTTTCTTTTTTCCTTCTTTTCTTTTTTTCTTTTCTTTCTTCTACCTTTGGTCACCGCCGGTCGCTGGTGACTGGAGGCTGGCCACCGGCCGCCTGGCCTTGCCCGGACGAGGCCGCCGCCGCCCGCCACAGGCGAGGCATGGCCGACCCTCGCCCGGGCGACGGCGGGCAAGCCCCGGCGAGGTCGGCCTCGCACGGGCGACGGCGGGCAAGCCCCGGCGAGGTCGGCCTCGCCTCGCATGGGCGAGGGCCGGCGAGGGGAGCCCTCGTCGGGGCTCGCCCTCGCCCATGCGAGGCGAGGCCGACCTCGGCGGGGCTTGCCCGCCGTCGCCCGTGCGAGGGTCGGCCGGGCCTCGCCTGTGGCGGGCGGTGGCGGCCTCGTTCGGGCGAGGCCAGGCAGCCGGTGGCCGGCCTCCGGTCATCGGCGGTGACCAAAGGGAGAAGAAAGAAAAGAAAAAAAGAAAAGAAGAAAAATTCAGAAAAGTATTTAAAAAATCGAAATATATACGTGGAAATGCCACGTAGACTAATTTTTTTAAAAAAAAATCCAATTGAGATTAAAAATTTAATTATAAATGCCACGTATTAATTTGGCCGGAATCTCTCGCCGTTGGCACCAAAGTGATCATTTTTCCTCCGATTTGGCACTTAAGTGATCCAAATGGAACTTTTGGCACCAAAGTGAGTTCCGTACACAACTTTTGGCACTTCTGCTGTTCTTCCCCCGATTTCTGCTGTCTTTGGCTTCTAAATGGAGTCGGCTGAATTTAGGGACTATAATAGGTTGCGAAAGCCCCCCGAACTCATGAAATGGAGCTTATATGTGCAACTACGTATTATCATGTTCTGAACTTTGATTGTATTCACGAAAGATTAATATCTTACCCAATGAAAATGTTGAAACAAAATGATGAGGGAGCATATGATTCTATGGAACATTCCTTAAGTCCCGACTCGTGTCCATCAACAAACCCAGCTCAATCGATGTTCATCCAAGCTAAAACTGATTACAACTTGCTTCGATTGGTCCAGTATGAAGATGCTGATAACTACCAAGATATTGCCGATTCTTGACTTAGCTGAATCAGTATCGTTTCACCGAAATTAGTTGTTGATTTCAATGTGGATTGATAATATATCAATGGGGGGTTGTTTTAAACAATTTCCCATGATATTTGCTGATTTATTGAGATGGTTATTCTTTGGTTAAAGCTGGTGGATGAATTTTTTGAAGAATTATAAGGTTGAAGAGTCAATATTTCAAGTCGCCATATCTTAATTGCACTTCATAGTTCCTAAGTGTCATCAATGCATTTTCTAAGTTCCTAGGTCTTTATGTGTGTTAATTGTTATGAAAGTTATGTCGTGACCCACCCCTTGAGGGCTGCCTCGGGCGAATGGGTTTAGAGGTAGGTTGTTCGTGAAGACGTTCCAAATGGCACATCCCAAGACGGCTGAAAAAGCGTCATTCTTTTGTTCATCCACGAGGTCCATCAACCATAAATGTAGACTATCCCTCAGTCCATACCTTACGTGACACGAGATCATTTCTATGTTTTTATTAATTATGAGTCTCTACTACCTTTTGTTAGGGGTTGACTAGAATACCTAATCGAAATGCGAGAATTTTGTTTCGATTTCTTATGGAACCAGAGATATCTAGGTACAGGGACTAGGCTATGTTAATGTTTCCACTAACGCCCTTTTGGTACCACTAACTAAATTGGTTGTTATCTAAGTGATCATGCGTTTGTTTTTCTCATTTTCATGCCGAAGTCTTAATCCACTAACTGTACATGCATATTGTTTTTGTGTTTTTTCATTTAAGATTCTAAACTAAACCTATTTTAGTCTAGAAAAGAAATTAACAAACAAGTGTATCAAAAAGACAAAGCGTAAAGTAAACACCTAATGAAATTGAAATGCAAGCTAATCTAAGCACGGAGAAAGAAAACCCGCAAGCCGTTGGGTGTTTATTATAAAACGAATTGAAAACTCGAGACATGGTCAGGTGACATGAATTGGTACAAAATGAGACTGGATTGGATATCGGTCTTTGACCTCCATTCTCAAGGGTCTCGGCCACCTCCTCCATGGACTGCCTTGGTGGTGTCGGTTTTTATTGAACTCATACATTCTGTGACATTCTGAAATTCGACCCATTTTCGAGATTTATGAAATGAATATATATCTTCGATGCACTTTTAGTTAAATCTTACTTGGAATTGATCTCTCTTGAGAAGACTAACCATTAGGGAATGGCTAACTAGGAATCAAGTACGTGGACCTAAGAACTTGGCCATGGACCGACACTTCAATCATAGGGATTGACGAGGAAATATTTTGGGCCATTATAGGCCGATACAAGGATGATTATGGAACGATTCGCAAATGTTGTATAATTGGATCGCGGGTGATTCCGTTTGACCATTGTATGAATTTCAAACGATTCTAAACCTAATCTGAACGATCGCGTCAATTGGAACTAGTGATTGACCCTCGCAATTACATGACAACCGAGGTCGCCATGGCTCGAGTAAGCTTAGATGTGGCTCGATATCGAATCGGCTATGGGTCGATACGCGTAACTCCTAAAAGCTACCCGTTAATTTGAGATACACTAAAGTCGTCATTGATTGGTTTTAGCCATGAATTAGAATCCAGAATGGGATGTCGAACTTTCAAGATTCCACGAAAATTTATCAGACGTCATCTCATCAAGCATGGCCAACTATTAGATCGCTCGGAATTATCAAAAAAGTGTAATTTGGACTGGGTATTAGAAAAAACCATTTTACCCCCCAAGATATTTGAATTCATTTGAAAGGTTAAAGGGCAACTTGGACTTAAGCATTTTCCCTCCTTGGCCGAAATTATTGGACCATTGTGCCTCTCTTCTCCTAGCTTATTTATTTTCTTGCAATTTGTTATTTTTGTGAAATTAATGAGAGAAAATTTGAGAGCCGTTGGATCTTGGCTTGGGGGAGAGGAAGGATTCTAGACCCTTGGATGTTAGTGGGGTTGGTATTGGGGTTTTGTGAGTTAGTGGAGTTAGTAGATGATCAAGTCTCTCTCTCTCTCCTTCATTCTCGCCTCCCTTGCCCTCACCCGCTTCGGCCGAACTTCTCCCCTCCACCTTGCCGGACCGACTTAGCCATTCAAGCCACCGTTCAACCGCCGGAGACATGCCGGAATAGCCACCGACCGCCGCAGCTGTTGCTCACCGCCATAACCCTCTATTTCTCTCTCCTTCCATCTCATTTTTGGTCACCACCATCCCCAACCGAGATCAACACCACCCCTCACCGTCACCACCATTCCATGTTCGTCCCAGCCGTGGCCCGCCCGTGACCAATGCCACCGCCGAGCCTCCCGTCCGGCCGCCAGAACAGTTGCTTGCTTGGCTTGGTCTTTACTTAGAATTCCTAGTAAGTGCTCTCTAAACCTTGGCTAGGACAATGGATTACCAATGGCATGTGTAAGGGCTGATTAGGGGCTGTTTAGAGGTGGTTTAGTGGCTGGTTGAGCTTGGTTGCTTGTTAGTTCTTACTTGGTTGATTCTCGGTTTGGTTGCTGCTCTTGTGTGGGCAAAATCTGAGGTGGTGTTCTTCATGAAAAGTTTTCCCTAACATCTTGAAGTATAACATATATTAAATATGAAATTTTTGGGGATCATTTGGGCTCATTCGGAAGCCCATTTTCGAACCGTCTCAAAACTGCCGAAATTAACTGTTCACCCTACCTTCTTGTCTTTTCGAATTTTTATAAATTTTTCTAGGCCTCTTTTCAATAAACTTCCTTCACGAAAATTGTTAAGGACGCTTCTGTCTATGACATATAAAAATTTTAAAGCTTTATAAAGATATTTGTGTACTGATTGAGATGCATTTTGAAGACCGGACGGTCTGTTCGGACGGGCTGATTTCTGTCTGAATTCGGCGACAAAAAGAGGTGTTTGCAGTCGGAAGTGGGTTTTGTGTTCTTCATGAAAAATGTTTATCAAGATTTTTTCTAGGATATATCCAAAATTTAGAATTTTTAGGGTTGAATTACTATTTATTTCAAAAGGATTTCGGTTACTGCGCAATTACCCAGAATAGCCCCGGTTCTGTGTAATTTGGTTTTCTCTCTCTCGGGGACTATTCGGTGTTATTGTTGTATATGAGAGGCATGGCTGTTTGTTAGATGAGTACTGATTCAATGGCATTTGACTAATTGAAAAGATGAGAATTGGTTTGAGTGCTTGAATACTCGTGTGATCATATAATGCCCTGAGGCGTCTTACGCGGGGATTTAACTTGTCTTGATGGATTTTACGTGAGACGATGCCCTACGTCTCCGATCCGCATAACTTTTCTCACGACTCTGAGCGGTCTTAAGCCTGTCTCAAATGATCTTAACCGCTTCAACTGACTGTTGTACCAATTCTGGACCCGTTATACTTCGTTCACTAACTTCATCCCAACAAACTGGAGTTTTGCAAGCTTTGTCATACAATGCCTCAAACGGTGCCATTCTGATACTCTA